GTATGTATATATATATGTATGTATGTGTGTATGTGTGTATGTATGTATGTATGTATGTATGTATGTATGTATGTATATATGTATGTATGTATGTATATCTGGTTATACGTGCTTTTTGATATGTTTATATATATATAGGAACGAGTATTTTGGGTATATACATGCCTGTATGCGGCGTGTCTATTATATCTCTGTGTTATGAATACAATTGTTCTTTGTATATCAACTGTTGAAGTCGAGTGTGTTTGTCCTCGGATTTATTTGTATGTGGGATATCGTGACTACCTTCACGTGCATATCTGTCGGTAGGACGACGTTAAGGCTTGCATAAAGGGTATAGATATACATATATCCATATATTCGCTTAATGCTCGACCAAAATATCACCCATCCCCACGAACGCAGGTGTGGAAGACACTCGAGCACAACTGCCCCGTACTAGCACCGCTATACACACCGCTCCCCAAGAACGTTAAGCTGATATACGATGGCGAAACTATCGATTTGTCACTTCCCTCCGAAGAGGTTGCTGGCTTCTACGCTGCCATGATTAAGGTACGGCTGTCAGTGTCGCATTGTGCACTAACTCTGTGCGCGTGTTTGCTTAACGCATACAGACTTCTCGCTCGCAAACAGCACTGCGATGGCTGTCCGGGGTTTTTCTTTTCTTTGCTGCTTTGGCGTGGTTGACTTAGGAATCAATCTTCGTGACTTCATTTACTTTATTTTTGAATGGCCGTGCACCTAGATTTATTAGTTAGTCTGCTTTTGGGTTGAATTGTGTGATCGCACCCGAGGGGTGCTTGACGTGGCCGACATTGTGTTCAGTACTATTATCGATTGTAGCACAATATATCGGGCAATGTCACATACGTACTGTGCTACGTGGCGGACGCTACATCATATAACTCGCTGAATGTTGCTTTATCAATGTATGTCCTGTAATCACTCCTAATATAGGCTACATCGGACAACCCTAGCCATGAACTGCTCGTGTGTGCGTACGCGGGCGCTCTGGAGTACCTCAGTCCTTTTTATGCATCAGTTAGATATATAACATAAACCTTTTATGCATCAGTTAGATGTATAACATGAACCTTTTATGCATCAGTTAGATATATACCTTAAATCTCTTATGCATCAGTTAGATATATAACATAAACCTCTTATGCATCAGTTAGATATATAACATAAACCTTTTATGCATCAGTTAGATATATAACATAAATCTTTTATGCATCAGTTAGGTATATAACATATAACCTTTGTCGTTCTCGTGATCTCCACAGACGGACTACGCATCTAAAGAGGTCTTCATCAGAAACTTCTTCGACGATTGGCGCCAAAAATATATGTCCGCTGCTGAGAAAAAGCTGATTACGGATTGGAAGAAAATGTATGTGAGATGGTACAGACATTCAATGGTGTGAAGGATCTATCAATGTGTGTAAATCAAAGTGTTCTGTGATTGGCGCATTATGTGGATCGATACTATATATATATATACATACATACATACATACATACATTCATACATACATACATACATACATACATACATACAT